AGTGGTAGGGCATGGTAAGCTAATGGTACAAAGTTAGGAGGTAGTGAGGCAATGACTGAGGTACAGTGGTAGTGCATGGTAAGCTAATGGTACAAAGTTAGGAGGTAGCACGGCAATGACTGAGGTACAGTGGTAGTGCATGGTAAGCTAATGGTACAAAGTTAGGAGGTAGCACGGCAATGACTGGGGTACAGTGGTAGTACATGGTAAGCTAATGGTACAAAGTTAGGAGGTAGCACGGCAATGACTGAGGTACAGTGGTAGTGCATGGTAAGCTAATGGTACAAAGTTAGGAGGTAGCATGGCAATGACTGAGGTACAGTGGTAGTGCATGGTAAGGTGAAGAGAACATGTCGGCGGCTACTCACCCGGGTTTGTGTACGACCTCCCTCAGCACCCGCACCGCGTCATCGTTACTCATGTTCTCAAAGCTGATGTCGTTCACTTGTAAGATCATGTCGCCAGGTTCAATCCTGCCGTCCGCTGCCACGGCACCACTGCAACACACACGCGCAACTCATCCATCTGCACACTACATCAATTATGTAGATAAACATCAATTAACTTTGTATATCTTAATTATCTTTACATTACCTGTCCACACTTGAATTAAAATTTAAATGTTAAATTTCATTATTGATGTACAAACTGCATTTACTTGACACCTATTCAGTACGACCCTATTATAAAGTTCCTTGCTTTATGTTATGATAACCTCTTAGTCTCTTCACGTCTTACACTTTATACAAATATATTCAATAATATCTGTATAAAAAATGAATATCATACATTTCTATTGCACGTCAAACAAGAAAGGTATATAAGCTCGTGTGTAATACCGTAACGAATTAACTGAGAATAAGACGTCGCATCATTTCACGGCGATGCATTGTGTCCGTTCTTCCCAAACACCGGCACGTGTGGGTACTGCAGCTAGGAAGGTTCACGCAGGGGGTATGCGCGATACAGTGTGTGTGTGTGTGTGTACTCACCCTTTCATGATGGAACCTACATAGATCCCTCCATCTCCTCCCTTATTGCTCTGCCCCACGATACTGATGCCGAGAAAGTTCACAGTGTCTGTAAGATGCAGATACACATGAGTTTATTGTAAGTAAGATGCGTATTGTAGTTTTTTTTATCATAGTCAAGTTGCCATTACAAACAATATCACTCTTAACAAAGTTGCGATCAACACAGCCACCGACACATCAACTTCGCACATGAGTTTATTGTAAGTAAGATGCGTATTGTAGTTTCAATTTGTTTTATCACAGTCAAGTTGCCATTACAAACAATATCACTCTTAACAAAGTTGCGATCAACACAGCCACCGACACATCGTCTCCGTCATCCTCGTAATCATCGTTATTCGTCGAGACTCACCCATGTTCAATGTGACAGTAATGATGTTGAGCGACATCGTAGAATCCGTGATGCTGCTGAAGGATGATGCCTGCAACAAAACCCACAAAACAGGACAATAAGCAAACAGCCTCATCCGCGTGCAACACATTGCTCCGTTGAAACAGTGCAGAGGAATCAATCTCACGATAAGACGGAGAAAAGCTAACTAACACCGAATAAATGGTGGTAAACATCACAAGTACTTGTTGAATTCACATGCAGTCGTTTAGAACTGTGAATTTTTCGAATTTTGATTTTTGAAGTCGTTTTAGAATTAAAGTTGAAAATGCTTACAAATTTAACCTTGCATTCATCAATACACAGCACAGTAGACACAATTGTGTCACCCATTACATCAAGCAATAAAATTCCACAACAAATTGATCCGCCACATAAGTGAA